CAGAGTGTGTGTCAGTGTAGTGGATGCAGAGTGTGTGACAGTGTAATGAATGCAGTGTGTGTGTTAGTGTAGTGAATGCAATGTGTGTGTCAGTGTAGTGGATGCAGAGTGTGTGTCAGGGTAATGAATGCAGTGTGTGTGTTAGTGTAATGAATGCAGAGTGTGTGTTAGTGTAGTGAATGCAATGTGTGTGTCAGTGTATTTAATGCAGTGTATGTGTCAGTGTAGTGAATGCAGAGTGTGTGTTAGTGTAGTGAATGCAGTGTGTGAGTTAGTGTAGTAAATGCAGAGTGTGTGTTACTGTAGTGAATGCAGAATGTTACAATGTGTGGTGGATGTAGTGTGTGTACTGTGAATACAGGATGTTTGTGTAGTGGATGCTGTGTGTATAGTTAATGCAGAGTGTGTGTTCGTGTAATGAATGCAGAGTGTGTGTCAGTGTAGTGAATGCAGAGTGTGTGTGTCAGTGTAGTGAATGCAGAGTGTGTGTAGTGAATGCAGTGTGTGTGTTGGTGTAGTGAATGCAGTGTGTGTGTTAGTGTAGTGAATGCAGTGTGTGTGTTAGTCTAATGAATGCAGAGTGTGTGTTAGTGTAGTGAATGCAGTGTGTGTGTTAGTGTAGTGAATGCAGTGTGTGTGTCTGTGTAGTGGATGCAGAGTGTGTGTTAGTGCAGTGAATGCAGTGTGTGTGTCAGTGTAATGAATGCAGTGTGTGTGTCAGTGCAGTGGATGCAGTGTGTGTGTCAGTATAGTGAATGCAATTATTATTTGTGCTGTAGTGAATGCAGTGTGTGTGTTAGTGTAGTGGATGCAGGGGTGTGTGTCAGTGTAGTGGATGCAGAGTGTGTGTGTCAGTGTGTGAATGCAGTGTGTGAGTAGCCAGTGAATACAGTGTGTGTGTCAGTGTAGTGGATGCAGAGTGTGTCCAGTGTAGCAGAATGCAGTGTGTGTGTTAGTGTAATGGAATACGGGAGCAGCACGTGGTAATTAGCAGTGAATGCAATGTGGCCAGCGTAGTGTGTTTAATGCAGTGTGTGTGTAGTATGTAGTGAATACAGAGTGTGTGTTAGTGTAGTGAATGCAGTGTGTGAAGTTAGTAGCTTAAATACAGAGTGTGTTTGAGTAGTGGATGTAGTGTGTTTACAGTGATGTAGTGTTTGTGTGTACTATATGCAAGGTGTTTAGTGGATGCAGTGTCTGTAGTGGATGTAGTGTGTGTATTAGACGCAGTGTCTCTGTATAGTGAATGCAGAGTGTTTCAATGTGTGGTGGATGTGGTGTGTGTACTGTGAATACAGGATGTTTGTGTAGTGGATGCTGTGTGTATAGTTAATGCAGAGTGTGTGTCAGTGGAGTGAATGCAGAGTGTGTGTCAGTGGAGTGGATGCAGAGTGTGTGTTAGTGGAGTGGATGCAGAGTGTGTGTTCGTGTAATGAATGCAGAGTGTGTGTCAGTGTAGTGAATGCAGAGTGTGTGTAGTGAATGCAGTGTGTGTGTTGGTGTAGTGAATGCAGTGTGTGTGTTAGTGTAGTGAATGCAGTGTGTGTGTCAGTGTAGTAGATGCACAGTGTGTGTCAGTGTAATGAATGCAGTGTGTGTGTTAGTGTAGTGAATGCAGTGTGTGTGTCAGTGTAGTGGATGCAGAGTGTGTGTTAGTGCAGTGAATGCAGTGTGTGTCAGTGTAATGAATGCAGTGTGTGTGTCAGTGCAGTGGATGCAGTGTGTGTTTCAGTGTAGTGAATGTAGTGTGTTTGTTACTGTAGTGAATGCAGTGTGTGTGTTAGTGTAGTGAATGCAGTGTGTGTGTCAGTGTAGTAGATGCAGAGTGTGTGTCAGTGTAATGAATGCAGTGTGTGTGTTCGTGTAGTGAATGCAGTGTGTGTGTTAGTGTAGTGAATGCAATGTGTGTGTCAGTGTAGTGGATGCAGAGTGTGTGTCAGTGTAATGAATGCAGTGTGTGTGTTAGTGTAGTGAATGCAGAGTGTGTGTTAGTGTAGTGAATGCAGTGTGTGTGTCAGTGTAGTTAATGCAGTGTGTGTGTCAGTGTAGTGAATGCAGAGTGTGTGTTAGTGTAGTGAATGCAGTGTGTGAGTTAGTGTAGTAAATGCAGAGTGTGTGTTAGTGTAGTGAATGCAGTGTGTGTGTTAGTGTAGTGGATGCAGAGTGTGTGTTAGTGTAGTGAATGCAGAGTGTGTGTTAGTGTAATCAATGCAGTGTGTGTGTTAGTGTAATGAATGCAGAGTGTGTGTTAGTGTAGTGAATGCAGTGTGTGTGTGTGTGTGTTAGTGTAGTAGTGAATGCAGTGTGTGTGTTAGTGTAGTGGATGCAGAGTGTGTGTTAGTGTAGTGAATGCAGTGTGTGTGTTAGTGTAGTAAATGCAGAGTGTGTGTTAGTATAGTGTATGCAGTGTGTGTGTTAGAGTAGTAAATGCAGAGTGTGTGTTAGTGTAGTGAATGCAGTGTGTGTTAGTGTAGTGAATGCAGTGTGTGTGTTAGTGTAGTGGATGCAGAGTGTGTGTTAGTGTAATGAAATCAGAGTGTGTGTTAGTGTAGTAAATGCAGAGTGTGTGTTAGTGTAGTGGATGCAGAGTGTGTGTGGAGTGTAGTGAATGCAGTGTGTGTGTTAGTGTAGTAAATGCAGAGTGTGTGTTAGTGTAGTGTATGCAGTGTGTGTGTTAGGGTAGTAAATGCAGAGTGTGTGTTAGTGTAGTGAATGCAGTGTGTGTGTTAGTGTAGTGAATGCAGTGTGTGTGTTAGTGTAGTGGATGCAGAGTGTGTGTTAGTGTAGTGAATGCAGTGTGTGTGTTAGTGTAGTAAATGCAGAGTGTGTGTTAGTGTAGTGTATGCAGTGTGTGTGTTAGGGTAGTAAATGCAGAGTGTGTGTTAGTGTAGTGAATGCAGTGTGTGTGTTAGTGTAGTGAATGCAGTGTGTGTGTTAGTATAGTGGATGCAGAGTGTGTGTTAGTGTAATGAAATCAGAGTGTATGTTAGTGTAGTGAATGCAGTGTGTGTGTGTTAGTGTAGTAGTGAATGCAGTGTGTGTGTTAGTGTAGTGGATGCAGAGTGTGTGTTAGAGTAATGAATGCAGTGTGTGTGTGTGTGTGTGTGTGTTTACTAGTGTATGCATGTAATGTAATTAAAGTTATTCCCCCTCCCTGTTTCTTACCTGGTTCAGGGAGGGGGGAAGATTCTATGATCCCTGGTGGTCCGGTGGCATGGTGGGGCCCCCGGCTCTCTGTATTTGCAGAGGGGGCCCAGCGGACTGCAGGAGCACTTTACAGCATTTCCCTGTCTCTAACTCCCGCGAGATGTGGTGTGCGCGCCGAGCGGAGCGTTGCCATGCTAACCCATGGCAACGCTCTAACGGCCACAAGTCTCGCGGGAGTTAGAGACAGGGAAATGCTGTAAAGTGCTCCTGCAGTCCGCTGGGTCCCCTCTGCAAAAACAGAGAGCCGGGGGCCCACGGCTGCACATATATATAGCGATCATCGCTATATATATGTGCAGAGAGTAATTGTGTGCCAAAGCAGTCCGGGCCCCCCAGGACCGCCGGGCCCCCCAGGACCGCCGGGCCCCCCAGGACCGCCGGGCCCCCCAGGACCGCCGGGCCCGTGACAACCGTCATGGTTGTCACCCCCTGATGGCGGCCCTTCTGGCGTTAGTTCATATGACAGATCATATGGGTGGGGCATTGTGATGTCCCATGGGGGAGGGCGGGGCGAAATTTTTTTTATTTTGCCTAGGGTGGCAAAAATCCTTGCACTGGCCCTGCATACAGTATGTCTGTCAGTGTATGTGTGTGGGTTAGTATGTCTGTCATTGTATGTATCAGTATGTCTGCCAGTGTATGTGCCTGTGTGTTTGTATGTCTGACAGTATATGTGTCTGTGCATCTTTAAGTGTGTGTGTGTGTGTATCTGTATGTAATCAGTGTGTATACCTATGTGTCTGAGCATCTGCATGTGTGTAAGGATGTGTATCTGATGTCTGTATCTGCATCAGTTTATGTGTCTGTATCTGCATGTGGTCAGTGTCTGCATAGGTGCCTGTATATCTGCAAGTGTATTAGTGTATATATCTGTGTATCTGCATGTGTTTCAGTGTGTATCTGTTTGTATGTGTATCACAGTGTGTGGCAGTGTTTGTGCATACATCTCAGCATTGATACACCAGCACAACATACAAATACACCGCTGCATTCAAACTTCAACACTACTTACAAACACACTCCTGCATTGAAACATCAACACTACATACAAACATACACATTTTGTTGTTAAACATTAATAATATATAAAAACACTCCTACATGCAAAAACCAACAGTACACATAAATGCATGCTTGCATTCAAACGCCACATACAAACGCACCCCTACATTCACGCAATCCATACAAAAACATGCTTACATTTAAACACACCAATTCGGCTCAGTGCTAAATACAACCCTGCAAGCATTAGAAAATGGTAGAGCCCCAGCTGTCAAAGCATTGTTGGAGTTGCACGACATATAAGGATCTACTAGACATGTCCAGTGTGTTTCGTTCCGAATGTTAATGCGGATGAATTTGGGGCAATTCAGACATTCAGATGCTTAAGAATGTCCAAATAGCTGAATTGCCGAAGTTCCGAAGCACATAATTGCCAAAGTACTAATATACCCAGTGGAAGAATGAAGAATGTTACACTGTATACCAGTTTAAATAAAAAAAGTATACAGACATAGCCAGGATTCAGCTGTATGCATCTGCAACACTTACAACAATCAAGTAACACATTCATCTAAAATGTAAGTTACTTAGCCAGTCAATGAATGGGAATTAATAAGTAGATAACTCCCTAATTCCCATGGTATTAGGGAGCTATCTACCAAAAGGCTAAAAGACCTAAATTGGTCTTTCAGACAAATTTACTAATACTAAAAATTACTTAGTATTAGTAAATTCTGCCCCTATTCGCTATACCGCGAGTAGGGGCATGTCTATTAAACAGTTTATGCAGTTTAAAAAAAATAAATAAAAAAATGGCCCCCCTCCCGACCTCCCACGCTGTGTAATTTGACTCATAACAACACTCTGATTGGTTGATTGAAAGTAACCAATCAGAGAGTTATGAGTCAAATTACACAGCGTGGGAAAATACCAAAGAACTTTCCCACGCTGTGTAAAATGACACAGAGCACTCTGATTGGTTGAATTCCAAGTCAACCAATCAGAGTGCTGTGACAGGTAAATGTAGAGACTTACCTGTCAGTCCCTTCATTTACCTGTCAGAGCACTCTGATTGGATGGCTTAAACCAATCAATCAGAGTGCTCTGAGCCTAACTGCAGGGCGGGGCAAGGCTTTATAAGCCTTCCCCCGCCCTGAGGAGCTCAGTCTGTGCGGTGCCCTCCATGGGTGAAGATAGATTATTTTTTCAGCGTCTGGTTTTTTTTTCCCATCTGATTTTTTTTACCAATTTCTTTTTTTTTTTTTTTTGACGATTATTGTGGGGGGGTTTTCGGGGCTGAAAAAATAAGATTTTAGAAAAAAGAAGACATCAAATGGTAAGTTTTAATTATTTATTTTATAAAACCAAGAAAATACAGGGCGCCATATTCACCAGATGAATAAATGAGGGTGAAGAAAGGATATGGATAATACAGTTTATTGAAAAAAACTTTGTAATATGTAAAATGCACCAACAATGTGCAAATAATTAAAAAAGATATATATACATAAAAAGCCTTAATAGGCTAAAAGACCCATAGGTACAGCAGCTCTAAATAACATGAAAAAGTGCAAATGCTAAAGTGCAGACAGTGAAATAAAGTGAGAGAGTGCAACTCTCATCACTACAAGGATGATACACACTGATAATGTCCACACACAATCTCATAAGCAACAAACATGTAAAGCAGAAACTGCTAATACCAAAGCAGGAGGGTCCCAATGTGGCTCAATGCGTTTCGGCCTTCAGACTTCGTCAGGAGCTTCTTAATCCTCTTCGTCTTCTTTCCCCTTTTAAATCCGCCGGTCCACCGGTTCACTCGTGATCGCGCATTCGCACGTCACGCACACCGTCATACGTCATGACGCACACGTGTACGTTATTTATTTATTTACAGGTACTTAGTTATTGGTCCCCCCTCACAATTTTTACGGTGAGGGGGGTAGGTAGGGGTTAATTAATTTTGTTTGGGAGGTGGTGACTAAGGGTTTGGGGACCCCTAGTCACCTGGGGGGGTTACATTTTTATTTATGCCCCCCACCCACCGCTCAGGGGTGGGGGCCGGGGGGGAAATAGGTTCCCCTCCCTTATTCTAATTTAGGGCCCCCACCCACAGCTCGGGGGCCGGGGGGAGGACAATAGGTCCCCCCCTTATTCTAATTTAGGGCCCCCACCCGCCGCTCAGGGGTGGGGGCCAGGGGGAGGACAATAGGTTTCCTCACCCCATTATTTTACTTTAGGGCCCCCACCCGTCACTGAGGGGTGGGATTCGGGGAGGAGGACAATAGGTCCCCACCCTTATTCTTCTTCAGGGCCCCCACCCGCCGCTCAGGGGTGGGGGCCACAGGAAGGACAATAGGTCCCCCCCCTTATTCTTCTTTAGTGCCCCTACCCGCTGCTCAGTGGTGGGGGCTGGGTGGGGGGTCAATAGGTCCCCCCTTCAGTTTAAAAGCCCCTACTTGTGCAGCAAGGGTGGGGGCTCGGAAGGGGGGACTTTTTTTTACATTTATTTATTTTTTAACAGTGATTATTTTTACTTAGGAGATAACTGTAACATTAATTCAGGAAACACCTGGATCAATGAGCAGTGTGGGTGGTACCAGATACACCCAGGGCTTAACCCTTGTAATAACGAAATAAATACCAAGAAAATGAATAAATTTCACTCTAAATAAGAGTAAGGAATTCCAGGCTGGTAACTAAATGTAAATTAAATAAATGAAAAATCGCAAGCGGTGTACCAAGATGAAAGTTTAATAGCAACCACACGATCCCACTGTGGAACTAAATACAGAACAGTGTATCAAAAAATAAAGGTAAATACCATGAAGGTGCTGTCATAGGAGCTGCAGATTTTATTTACATTGTTATCTAGTTTTTTCCTTATGGTATAGTGCTTCTAGGAGCTGTCTTGTATATCCATCATTCGATAAGAGCTTGTACATCCATCCTTCGACAACAAGCACATTACCATTGCACAGTACTATTATTATTATTTTCCAATAGCTCTCCTCTATAGACAATAATTTTCTCATTCTCAGCTGGTTTTGCTGAGGATTGATTTCTCTCCTGGATACATATCCGTCCTCCACCCCATTTATATGCAGTTTATGCCGCCAAACAAGTAGACAGCGCACTGTTTAGGGGATTTTCCCCTTGTGACATTTCTCTCCAAACTATCAGTTGGATTATATCCACAACCAGAAGAGTCACTAAGGGCATCCCATTATTATTCTGAGAGGTAATTGCGCACCACTCCCTAAGTGGATACAGAATGAACATATGTATCATTTTTATTTTTGTGATCATAATAAATTTACCTTTATTTTTTGATACACTGTTCTGTATTTAGTTCCACAGTGGGGTCGTGTGGTCGTTTCCCTATCAAACTTTCATTTTGGTACACTGCTTGCGATGTTTCATTTATTTAATTTACATTTAGTTACCAGCCTGGAATTCCTTACTCTTATTTAGAGTGGGATTTATTATTTTTACTTAGTATTAGTAAATGTGGCTGAAAGACCAATTTAGGTCTTTCAGCTTTTTGATAGATAGCTCCCTGATACTGTGGGAATTAGGGAGTTATCTACTAAGCGGCTGCAAGAGAACAGCCGAAGTCCCGAAATGTCGAAGTGCCAAGTCCCGAATTTCGGAATGCTGTATCGAATCCCCATGCACATCCCTAGGATCTACCTTCTGGCCACCCTTACAATTGGGGGACCAAAACAAATTCTTGCACCAGGGCTATTTCTACTTTAATAACAAAGACAAAATGTATATCAAACCACACAACGTGAAAAAATATGCAAAAAATACAACCTGAGCTTGTCAGTATAATCAGGTGGTATCTAAAAGCATAAGATAAAATACAACATAGTGTAATCTGTATAAAAACAGTAAGAATAGGGCAAAACAGACTATCACTCACATTATGCAGAGCCGTCCCAGGCTCTGTATTGTAGGCTCAAAGGTGCCAATATAGGCAAACGAAACTCCCAGAAAGTGGATGGAGAAGTTGCTCAAAAGATATATATTTATTAAGTAAAATTCAAAATTATAAAAGCTCGAGGTAATAGGGGAGTGGAATCCAGACTATGCAAACAAAAGGATATCCACTTACCCCAAATAGCAACCAAGAGCAAGTGCATAAAATGAACACAAATAAAAATAATAATAAAATACAGCTAGGTAACAGCAGCAAGCAGCAGACGCGTTTCGGCTATACAAGCCTTCTTCAAGTGCTAATATTGGGGTCTCCGGAGCTTCTTTAAATACTTTAAGTCATTACAAACACATGTGTATAGTTTCCGTTCGATTCTGTCACTTCCGGTATTTTCAAATGACGTCACTTCCGGTTAGCGGCGTTTGGAATGCATGGTGGAACGCATAATGGAACGCATGGTGGAACGCAAACTTCACCATGCCGTTTTCTTGCCGACCGGATAACAAAGTCCATAACATATGAAATGTAAATACAGAACGTATAAAAAGGAAGAAATAGTTAATTCAGTTCAATTGAACATACATATGAGGCAATAGACATATAAGAAGTATATAAATATAAGAATAATATATAATAAAAATATGTAATTAAAATAAGAGTTGGCAATGGATGGAAAATAAAAGCAATAAAGACTAACAATATCTTAAAGAGATAAAAAATACTTATCAATATAAAAATTACTCTAAAAATTGGCTAAATTCAAAATCTAAATTAAGTCCATTGGGGGATAATGTGTCTACTTCAAAAATCCATTTACTTTCTATCTTAGCCAACTCTTTTACATTATTTTCACCTCTCCAATTTTTTTCTTTTTTAAAAATGGCCATAAATGATAATACTGATGGATCACTTCTATGCTTTTCAGCAAAATGTGCTGACACACTATGTTTAAGATATCCCCTCTGTATATTGCCCAGGTGTTCCGCAATTCTGGTTTTTAAAGCTCTAGTGGTCATCCCAATGTATTGCAGACCACATGGGCACCAGAGAAGGTGTATGATATTAGTCGATTGACAAGTTAAAACCTGGCGAATGGAGAACAAACGATGATTATAACAAGAAGAAAAAGAGGTAGTTTTTTGTTTTTTAAAAAGAGTCTTCCTACACGCCACACAAGATTTACAAGGGTAAAAACCTTGTTCTACATTGAAAAAGTTTTTTTGTTTTTTATCTTTAATAAAACTAGTAGTTAAATGTTGTTTTAAGTTTTTTGCACCTCTATATATTATAGTCGGTTTCTCTCCTATAATATTTTTAAGAGCTGGATCAGATCTAAGAATGTGCCAATATTTATTTATAATATGTTTAATTTGCCTAGCGTTTTCATTATAATTTAAAACAATAGGGACTCTTAAAGGTTTTTCATTATTTTTCACTATTAATTTCTTTTTTGGTTTTAAAATTTCTTTTCGCTCTTTATCTTTGGTATTTTTAATAAAAAAATCCAAAGACTTTGGATCGTAATTTTTTTCCACTAGCCTAGTTTTTAAAAATTGTGCTTGTTCTTCAAATACTTTAGTATCACTACAATTTCTATATATTCGCAAAAATTGGCTATTTGGCATATTGTGTAGCCATGGACCATAATGGCAACTGGATGTATCAATGTATCCATTAACGTCAACTTTTTAAAAAAATGTTTTAGTATGGATGGCCTGATTTTCAATATATATAAATAGATCCAAAAAGCTAATGCCAGTAGTGCTATGTTCACTAGTGATACGTATATCAGAATTATTTTCATTAAGAAACTCCACAAAAGATCCAAGAGACTCCTCATCTCCTTGCCAAATAAAAAAAATATCATCTATGTACCTGCGATAGAGGACCAGATTGTGCGCCCAGCGTGCTTCGGAGAGAAAAATTTTTTCCCACCGTGCCATAAAAAGATTGGCATAGCTGGGCGCAAATCTGGTCCCCATCGCG